CGGGGGTCTGTGAGAGGAGCCGGGGCTGAGGGCGGTGAGGGGAACCGGGGGTCTGTGAGAGGAGCCGGGGCTGAGGGGCTGGGTGTCCCCCCTGTCCCTGGGTCAGTGCTAGAGTTTAGCACACATTGCTGCTGCCTGAAGCCACGTATTGATACATTTCATGCAAGTTATTGATCTGTTTGCATTCATCCCTTACCCCAGTGGTAAAGGGACTCCGGGCAGAAGGTTGTTTGATGCCTTGTTTGTCTCTACAGCAGGGGAACCGTGGCATCCCTTTGGATGCAGGTGCTAGTGCTGTGCCTGCACTGATACAAGGATTTACTCCAAGCAGTGCACTCGCTCCAGTCATGTGCTGAACAATAATGAAACATCAAATACCTTTTTGTCCTTCAGACAGCACAGCAACAGATGTGTGACACTGACAGGATGCCTGGTGGGTCAGTCCGGCCCATGCAGGTGTCCATTGCAGCCATGGGTTTTGTTTGGTATGGACAGTGACAACTGACATTCTCAAACCACTGAAGAGCTCGAGTCATAGAATAGTTTGGTTTGGATTGGAAGAAACCTTAAACCATCCAGTTCCATTCCCTGCCATGTGCAGGGACACTTCCCATTATCCCAAGTTGCTCCAAGCCCCATCCATTCTGGCCTTGGACACTTCCAGGGATGAGGGAGCCACAGCTTCTCTGGGCACCCTGTGCCAGGGCCTCTGTACCTTGACAGGGAAGAACTTACGTCAAGTCCCACTGATGTTTTCTTTGTCACTAAAATACTGCTCCATATTACTTTCCAGAGTTCAGTTTGCATAGGGTTGCAAATCAGAAATAATAAATTCTATGAAAACACCTATTTTTCCTAATTGTTTCCGCAGCACTGGCAGCATGAATGGTGTTGCCCCCGAAAATAGATCCAAAGACACCATGGAGCAAACCGTGATCATTCCCCAGGCTTTGAAGAGGCTGAGAGTCCCTGTGTGTGTTCAGAGAAGGGAATGGAGCTGGGGAAGGGGCTGGAGCAGCTGAGGGAGCTGGGAAGGGGCTCAGCCTGGAGAAAAGGAGGCTCAGGGGGGACCTTGTGGCTCTGCACAGCTCCTGACAGGAGGGGACAGCCAGGGGGACACCCAGGATGAGAGGGAACAGCCTCAGGCTGGGCCGGGGCAGGCTTAGTGTGGGCATCAGCAGGAATTTCCCCATGGAAAGGGAGCTCAGGCACTGGAACTGCCCAGGGAGGTTTGGATCCCATCCCTGGGGTGTCCCGGGGAGGGCTGAGGTGGCAGTGGGTGCTGTGGGCTGGGGCAGGGTGGGGATGTGGCGCGGGCTGGCTCGGGGGTCCCGGAGCTGCTCCCGCTCGCGCTCCGGGCCGGCCCGGCGGGCGCAGTGCGGGCGGGCCCCGCCAGGTGGCGGCCGCTCCCGCGGAACCGGCGCCGCCGGCGCCGCCGCGCCCCCCGGATCGCCGGGAACGCGCTGCCCGCAAACGGCATCTCGCCTGTGCAGCCGCAAACGAGGGAAAACAACTCGCAGAGGCACAGCCCGACAGAGTAATTTGTTGTTCCCCAGTAATTTGTTGTTGGACCCTGCAGGGTCTAAAGGGTGTGGGCTGAAAAGGAGGTTGCAGGTGTGACACAACCAGCGAGTCAGGAGCCTTGAGATCAATTGTGATTTCAAATATCAACTGTGACCTCCTATATTTGGGGAAGGTTCTTCCCCCAGAGGTGCTGGCACTGCCCAGGCTCCCCAGGCAATGGGCACGGCCCGAGGCTGCCAGAGCTCCAGGAGGGTTTGGACAGTGCTCCAGGGATGCCCAGGCTGGGATTTTGGGAGTGTCTGTGCCGGGACAGGAGATCCCTGGGATGACCCCTGTGGGTTCCTACCAGCCTTGATATTCTGTGATTCTACAAGTCTCAATTCCACTCCTCCACAAACCCAGACTCCCTTCTCTGTTTAAACCTGCACTAACCAACTGCACCAGTGAGGCAACAGCCAGTGAGTTCAGTTTGGGATATTAAACGCAAAAACTTCATTAAAAATTGGTCCTGGCCTACAAGCGTCCCCAGGTGCATCCATCCCAAAGCCCTGGTAAAGAAATCCCTTCTTCAGCTGCAATGCTGCCCACACCACAACCCCCCAGTGAATGCTCACACACAAACCTAAAGAGCCCCGTGTTCATTCCATGACTGTCTCTGCGTTGTGCAGGAACACTCGCTGCTGTATCTGCCAGGGCAGGAGCTGCCTGTGCCAGCTGGCAGCTGCTTCCTTCCTCCAGCCTCCTCGGGGCACCACGGCTGCCAAGGCAGCGGTTTCTCAGCACCTGTACTCATAGAAATGCTTCCACCCTGCTAATGCAAACACACAGACCTCGTGGGGCACATTTTGTCCACTTTTCCCAACAGCACATTGCCAGCGCTTTGATCTCAAATGCAAATTCAGCTCAGATCCTTTTTAGGATCTGCTGCTACTCAGAAAAATCAGTGCCACCTAAAATCTCTCTGCAGATCTGTCAAGTTCAGCTATTTGAGCTGCACACTGCTCTTCACCCACCTTTCCACATGTGTGAACAGACTACCAGCTGGCCACTATCTCTGTATTAATCATCCTGAGCAAACATCTCAGCTTTTTAGCACAGCTGCAACTGTCTGGTTAAAAACAGCCCAGATTCCAGCTTTCAGCCTGCACCTCATTGTCTGTTTGCTGTGTGCTCCAATGGCAGCTCCTCCATCTCATAGTTCTGAATTCCATTGTTTCAGTTTTGCTTTGGCCAAGGATGTGTCATCATCCCTGAGCCCTGACAGTCCTTTTAAAGTGAGGCAGTTTTTGGTGCCTACAGCTTGTGCCAAGGAGAAGGAAGGAAGGAAGAAAGGAAGGGGTCATTGGGACATTGCTG